GGAGAAGAAAATAAAATGTTTGCAACCTTATGTGGAGAAAAAAAAAATAAAATCAAGGTAATCTGTAAGAATAAAAAGAGATCCATAATGTGTTATCCTGTAAACCCGTGTCATCTTGACATGGATTAGTAAAAGCCTGCCATTTCATCAACACATTTTTCGGGGGAAAAGAGAAAGTGCTATTTTGGAATTGTATGAAATGCGATACGATTGGTGTGTTTTTTGTTAATTAAATAATAAAATCTTTTTTTATTTTGGGAAACATTCCAGACAAATTATGTTTTCGGAGAGAGCACTGAAGTTACCCATTGTGACTGATAGATAACTTGTTACTGGTTCTTCTCCCGTCTATATTTGAATCTCATGGAACAACTGTTTTCACGTTAACATCTGTCAGATGTTGCCAGATTCGATTGTTGTGACACGCTGTTGCCTTTGCAAGTTAAGGGTAAGGCAGAGCTTTGGGTGTGATGTACTTTTTCCTCTCCTCTTTGTCTGGCCTACTGTTGATGGCTGTGAGGGTGTGGATGTTTGATTTGCTTTAACTTACTGCTTTGGATGATGCAGTTCGCATTTGTGGCATATTCAGACCACTTCCAATCCCTGTTTTGGTGTTTACTGAATGAAAGTTGTCACTAGATTCCAACACAAGTATTCATTTGAAAACCTCATTTATAACTACATTTAATAAGTTGTCAGGACACTTGCTTTAATTTTAGAACTGCACCGATACTTCTAATGGTCTCTTGTTCTTTCCAATGATTGTTGTAACTCAGAAAAAAACAAACAAAAAAACCAAACAAACAAAAAACCAACCAACCAAACAAACAAACAAAAAAAAAAACCACAACCAAAAACAAAGCCAAAACCCCACCACCACACTGTGGAGTCTTTAGGAAGATCCCTGATGTCCTCACACAAGATCAACACTACTTTGGGAGAAGCTTACATTCTTCTGCCACTTTAAGGAAAGACTGTTCTTCTGAAGTACTTTTTGCCTGCTTCTAGGCTGTTACGCACTTTCATGATTTCTTAACAAACTACTGTTAAAAATGTACTGTAACATGGATTTTGATAAGCGCACATGTATTTAAACAATTCACTCAGCCTCAGGAAAGCTGGAAAAATCAGATACCTGTTTTGTATCTTGGTTAAAAATGTTTGTTACCTACATCCCTTAAGATGGCCAGATAATGTCTAGATCCTGTGAGTGTAACTAATTAAGGTACCCGTATAGTCTGTAAAAGGAGGACAGTGTAATTTTACTCTAGGGACTGAGAAAATGGTGTCCTCTTATTTTTCTTAGAGGTATATATAGTCTGAATTGGAGTTTCAAAAGCAAAAAATAGTGATAAACCCCATTTACTGTTCAGGAAAAAAAAAATGTTTTCTTTCTTAACACTATCTTATTTCTATTTTCTTCCTTCTCATTAAAAAGTGTGTGTGAAATAAGTGCAGAGGTATGTGTAGGAAAACCTGTAAAATCTGCTGCTGTACATAATGTTTGCTACTTGACTGCATTTTCTGTTCCACTTTAATTTTACTGGTTTTGCTAAATATATTTTATATATTTTCCTTCCTGCTTCTTGTGATGGCAGAGTGATTACATCTTGGGGGGGAAATAGCAAAAACAACCATTAGAAGGCTCTGGCCAGAAAATTCCATCAAGTTTGTATGTTAGCATGTAATGCAGGGCATTTTTTTGTGAGAACAGCCTAAATCGGGGGCAATATGGCATAGTAAAATCAATGGGGATATTAAAATGTATGAAGGTGTAGATACTGTTAATTCTCTTTCAGGTGTGTGTTGTTTTTTTTTTTTTTAATTACTTCTAAAATCCATTTAAAATGTCAATACCACTAGGTGGTATTAAGTAACTAGTGGTCACTTAAGTAGAGCACTTTTCAGTCTGAAGACTGTAGCTTTCTTCGTGGTCCCTGAATTACTTCCATGGGATCCACAAAGCCTGGCAAAATGGAAAGAAGTCACTGTGATCATGTGTCACTGTGATGTTTCTAAGAAGATTTGCATCTCCAATAGAGAAACAGGTGATAGTCCACACGCTGTTTCAGGGTAAAAACTTACTACTGTACTTGAATTTAGAGAGTGACTGCAAGCTTTTAAGTGGCTGACTGATGGCCTGTCCTACTGTGTGGCCCAAGGTCTCAGGAAGCTGTGGTGTGCCTGGCCCACAGAGCTACCCCCCGGGGCTCTAGCGCACGTTTCATCCTGCATCTGTAGGAAAACAGCTCCGTATTGGGAGAAAAAGTGCATTAAGCCTCTTGCAAAGATGAAATATTGCAAGTTGTTCAGCAAATAGAGTTTTTCCACTGTTACTATCCGTCTTCAGAAGTAGGATTATGTTGACATTAACTAGAAGTAATCCTTGTATGGTTGTAAAGCATTATATGTTTGGCTGCCTTCCAAATGAACGTGCAGTTGGTTTGCCAGCCCTAAAAATGCTGAGATTTTTGGGGGGGGAACTATTAAGAAGTTTTTTAGACTTAACGGCAACAGCAGAGATTCTACAACTGTAATTTAATAGTTATTTTCTATCAGTCAAAACTGATTATACATTTTCATATGGCTATGGCTTGTGCTACAGCGAGAGGACTGAAACGTATAGACTTCCTTTAGTAAAGAAAAAATACAACAGAATATAAAAGAAAAACACCAGAACTCAAAAGCCTTATGAGTAACAAGTTGCTATTGCTTTCCAGGGTAGAACTGTGTTTTTAAAAATGGTTTCATGTTCTTGTTTCTGACCCAGTCTGACAGAGTACTAGAAAATGTATTGGTAAAGTAGCAGTTCTCTAGGTCATCAGGCTTATCTTAGAGACACCAGTGTCACTGCTGTGTGATAAGGGTCTGTCAGTGAAAGGATATGGGAGATTAGTTTAACTAGAAATACTTTTCTGCCAAAAAAAAAAATAGGAAACAATAAAACCTAATTATTGATAAGAAATTTCTTGCAGGGTGCACTTTACACGTGGTTCATTTGTCCTCACATCCCAAAGAAATTGCAGAGCAAGATATGGCCTGTTTTCCTTCCTACAGGGTCACTGGCGCTCCTCCTGAGCCTTCTAGAACTGTCTTGTAACACAGATTCAAGCAAGGTCTTGAGCTGTCTGCTGCCAAGTAGTATCTGATCTCATAACCTGAATAATGTCCCCCTGCCAAGGCCCCGCACAGCTGTGTGCCTTTACATGATCTCTATAACCCTCCTGGTGAGGAAAAATCTGGACTGAGAGTATGTGTCTGCCCAGTCTCCTTTATCCTTTGCTTATCAGCCCTGTGCAGAACATTTTTCACATAAAATGCTTTTTAAGCATGCATGAAATAAGAAAATTACTAAAGTGTCACTTTGTAGAAGCTAAACCATATTTCTTACTGCAATCAGCAATATTATGCAGATGTCAGGTAACTGTCACTTTGCAACAGTGCAGGGAAAAGGTTTCTTTTGATTAAATTACAACAGTGGTAGTAACATGGGTGGATATGGGTGCACTCCACATAGGACAATCTTCTATGTGAGGATGAAGAGCCTTTTTGGCAAGACCTTTCAAAGACAAAGGGGGTAATGCACTGAATGCCAGTTCCAAACTACTTGGAAGTCTTTTAAAATCAAATGGAAACGCTCACAGTTCTATACTGTCATGCAGGGCTTTGTTTCTAAATAGGAGAGAGGTAAAAAGTATGGGGATCTGAAGGAAAAATCAGCATATCCCCACATCCTGTGGTAGCAAGGAAGGTTGATTTTCTGCCACCTACATAAGCTGTGCTGCAGAAATATTTTATCAGAATTTAGTATTTCTGTCTTCTGAGAACTAGTTTGGCTTTGCTTGTAGTTGTCCAGTGCTGACTGCAGGACTTTCCATTCAGCCACAGCAACGTGTTACAGCAGATAAAGGTTCAGCAGGTCGTAGGTGAAATAGCAGTTTCTTGTTCAACTCATTGCAGATAGGAACATCTAGCTCTGGAGAATGGCAGGAGAGTCTACTGTTGGGTTAATTATAAATAATCTGATGGGCAGCTTTCTATGAGTTGGTTTATAGGAGAGTCACTGAACAACAGAAAGACTATATTATGAAAATATTTTTTGTGAATTACCAGACTTTATAAAGAAGGAATGAAAAAAAAAAAAAAAAAACAGTGATGAGCATGTTATTAAATTTTTGTTTTGGGGCAATGAGATGACAAGAGGTGCCAGACAAGCCTGTTGTGCCTGCACAACATGAGAAACAGGAGCATGAGAAGTTCTGTGCCTGAAGGGAAAGATGCAATCAATTAATTGAAACAACTAAGGTATTTTAAAACTTGCAGTCTTTTGAAACTAATCATCAGCTTGACTTCTATCTGTATGCAGGAAAGACAGCTTGTTCCAACCTGGTATTGCTTGATTCAAAGGGAAAGACTGGACAGCAGAGCTACATCAAGAAAAAGTTTGGGGAGCTAGGCTGGTATTGAAGTCAAAAGCTCATGGCCTTTGAATGCTTGGCATCTAACTCGAGAGCTCGTTTCTGTGATTTCCACGCCTAACATGACCGGCTACCTACGGCTGTCTAACTTGACGTATATGTTACCTAAGATTCCTGTACCTGTTCAGATGAGTACGCCGAACCACGCGTGTCCCCCGGGGCCGGACCCCACGGCAGGGCGGGGAAGGACAGACGCGTCAGCCCGGCGAGCACCGGCCATGGCGGGCTGTGAGGAACCTGCGCATGGCGACAGCGCTGAGGCGGTTCACGGCGGTGCCTCTCTGCGCAGGTCCTAGGCTTTTAGGAAGCTCATATTTAAGCGAAACGAAGGCCTCCCTCAGGCGGCGCATCCCACGGGGGGTGTCAGGGCCCCAGGCGGGCGCATGGAGCCGCCTCCTCCCGGGCTGCGCCCTCAGCGGCGACCGGCGGGAGCGTGAGGGGCGCAGCGCCTGGCCCCGCCCCGCCCGCGGCCGTTCCAGCCAATGGCGGAGCAATCGCCAGGATCGCCCCGCCCCGCCTGAAGTGACCAGCAGGGGGCGCGCGCCCCTTAGCCGGCGCCGCTGCTCTGGGGCGGGGCGGGAGAGGTCCGCGTGCGCGGAGGGATCTGGCGGCCGGTGAGTGGAGCGAGGTGGCGGTCTCGGGTCGGGGAGTGATGCGGCCCGGTTGGGGGGGGGGGGGGAGGGGGGAGGCCGTGTGTCCTTCCGCCCGCCTTTGTTTTCCTCCCCGTGAGGGCGGCGGGGTCGTGTCCTGCTGCGCCTCCGGCCGGGGCCTCCCGCCGCGGAGGGGCTGGGCCGGCGGGCCGCTGCCGGCGGGGCGGCCTTTAGTGCCCCGGGCCTGGGGGAGGCGGAAGGGGGTCACGGCCCTGGCGCCGCCGCCGGCTCGGAAGGGGCGGCTGAGGCGGGGGGCGGGAGGGAGCGTCGCGCCCGCCGCGCTGGGGTAGGCGGCGGCCGGGGAGAGGGCTGGCGGGCGGCGTGGGGTCGCGTCCCCCGCGGCGTGCTTCCCGCGGTAACCCCTCGCAGCCGGCGGGGCGCGGGGGTTACGCGCCCGCAGAAGTGGGCGCTCAAAGCGGTGAAATCCAGGAGGAAACGGGAAAAAACAGGGCCTTCCTCAGAACCTGTCAGTGGTTTGTCATACACGTGTAGGAGGGTAACGGCGGTTCCAAGTCCAGCCTCCTCTCCCTCTCTGTGCTTATTAAAGATTATGACAGTTGGGCTAGAATACATAATACTTCTTCGAGTAGCCACCTGGCCTCCAGACCTTACTTTTCTAACACGGTGCAGTTTCTACATACTTAGTAGTCCTCTGAGAGTTGCTCTTCTATAAACTTCACCGCTTTGAAGCACTATAAAATTTCATCACTGATGGATTCTGTAGCTCAGCACCACCTTGCATCAAGCTCCTGGGGTTTTTTTGAACCAGGCTCTTGCAGCCCATGCTTGTTGCCTTCTCGTTCTTGCCTTGGAAAACAGTAGTTGATCTCTGCCCATGGTGTTCACACCACTCACTACAGGCTCTGTCATACCTTTTCTCAGTTACTTCTTCCTCGTACTCATTCCCCTGCTTAAAGCTGTTTTGGTCTTTGGGTGTCTCACTACACTTCTTGAATCTTTTATAGTTTCAGTTTTTTCTTTGCTTTCTGTTGAGATGAAGGAACCAGAACTACTGTTTACTTTTGTTCTATATGTGCTGGTATCTTGGAGCTCTTGGCAGATTCTTTTAAATTTCTTTGTAAATTCTACTTAAACATGTTTTCATCAGACACCATTCCCACTCAGGCAGGAGACTGTGGGATTATCACATGTGATTCTCCAAAAACATTTCAGTGTTTGCTGGCAGCCAGAAAAAAATGTATCAAACATTAGAAGTTTTTAGGAAAAGAAATAGACTGTAACAGAAAACATCATAAAGCAATAGCTTAAGTGTGTAATCAGCCATATCTTAGGTATTGTGTAGAGTTCAAGTCTCCTCATCTCAAAAAAAGGGTACATTAGAAGCATTTTAAAAGGATGAGCAACTGCATGGAAAGACTTTTGTCATCCTGTCAATAGAGTGGGTTAAGGCACTTCAGACTAGAGAAGAGCCAACTTGCAGCATGAGGGAAGGAGGATGACTTACAGGTGTCTGTGAAATGACTTGTGGAGTGGTGTGGAGAGAGTGTATAAGGATTCAACCATTTTCTTCCAGTATACAAAGTATTTGCATCCCATGAAGCTACTAGCCATGTTCACAGCAAGAAGAGGTAGTTTTTAAAAAAGCTACTTACCAGATGATATTATAGATTTAAAAACTCTATGTGAATTCAAGTGTCTAAGAGAACCACATTCACAGAATAAATCACTGCAGAGACAAAAACAACTCCCTTATTGGAAAATAGTTAAAGTCTGGAAGAGTGTAGAGTAGGGAGGTGGCACATACACTTGCCTTATCCCACTCCGAGAGAGCTGCTTTTGGGCACCTTCATGATAGAAGAATGACCAGTATCAACCCTTCAAGATAGAAGAATGACCAGTATCAACCCTTGGTCTGAACTAGTGCAGCTTTCCTCGTGAACCATTTTCCATGGATGTTAACAAAAAATTCTCCAGACTTACTCTGAAATGGAGCTGTTCTCAGATCAGTGGCAGGTGAGCTGCTCGTGGTCCACAAATCTTGCCTTGTCTGTCTTTCCCTACTCCACAAAACCACTAGTACATAAGAAAACTGCTTCAGGCTTGTGTGCAGGTTTGTCAGTTCTGCTTTTCTGACATCCCCCAGCTTGGACATCCTGTTCAGAGACCGTTCTGTTTCACGGCACCTGGGCTCCAAAACTTTTAATTTTTGAGTTTTTCCCAGTTGACTGCAGGAGAACAAGCTGACTGCCCATGCTTGAGGATGACCTCTTGGATGTTTGATTTTTGATTTGTATTAGAAGACTCTACAAAACAGATGTAGGTATGGCCTAGCATTTCTCAGTTCCCTCTGTCTAGACCATGCTAGCTAGTAGGAGGACTTTTTTGTCTAAATTGCTTTGTACTGATGTATTTCATACACTTTGTCCTGTTAGTCATTCCTGTGAAAGTGCATTTGGCCATACTCCCAGTATCTTGTCAAATCATTGACAATCAACTCTTCTTTAGGATTTAAAGACCTGAAAAATTGTTTCCAGTAGGTGAAAAGGTTTCTCTGTCTGGGCTTTTACTATGGTGGGGACAGACTCCCACAGCACCTATGCATGGGTTAGTTTGGACACCCTTCCAATTGTTGTGTGGGAACGTGGGACTTGGATCCCTGTGCATATGAAGAAGCTGAAGCTTGAGCACAGTGTAGTATCTCCCTGGTTTTGAGGTGGTAGGGCACATCCAGCCTTTTAGTAACTTTCCAGTGACTCTGATCGGGCCTTGTTCACCTCCAGACAGGTGGTTGCAGCCCCTTCCAGGTGGTTTTCATTATGGTTGCACACCATTGGCCAGCTTTTCTTGATCCATGTTGCAGACACAATAGATGATGAGCTGTTTGTCTCAAGTACTGGCTTGGGTGGCTTGGGAAAAATACAGACAACCATATTCAACTCAATTTCATGCTATCTGTCTTTAGATCCAAGTTACTCTACAATAAAATGTTCTCTGAAGTTCCACATATGCTTTTTATATTCTTGGTAAAAGGGGCTAACACCATCCTCATCCTCCCCCTTCCCAGTGATGAACAGGGTGGCTTTCCAGTTGTATTCCTATTCCTTGGCCTTTCAGTAGTCTCTCTCCTTCAGCTAAGGGACATTTTATTACAATGAGGTGACATCTTTAGGGTAGCATAAAAGAATGAACATTGGAAACCCACAGAGCAGAAATGTGTCCTTCTGCTTGTACACTTACCAAATGGTATTTCCAAGTTGCCTGGGCATTTGGAGAGGCCTTACTTAAGACATGAGTTAGGTTGACACTTCCTCTTTGGCAGAGAAATGTTAGCCAGTCACCTTTGGTGCATTTTGGTAAAAGCTCTGAAGAAGCAGTTACATACTTCACAATGAGAGTATTTTTTGAGGTGGCTTTTCAAATATGGATCTCACGTCCTGCCTGCCTTTCCCCACAGAAGAGGAGCTTCCTCTCGAGTAATGCTGTGGATCTAGAAGGATCTGACCTCTGGAGCAAGCTGTGTTTTCTGTCTTCATGGAGTGAGCAATGGTGCAAGGGCACACGGGGCACTTGCCTCAGCTGACCTGGTGACTGCAGGTTTCCAAACTTCTCTAGATAGAGGCACACAGTTACATTTGGGTATAGAAGCCACACTCTTATCTCAAAGAGTATTGGTTTCCAGATGATCATCATTTCATAACTACAGGTGGACCAAATGCACAGGGGACCAAAGACTGAAGAAATTTTTGAGTCAATTTTTCCATAGTGTTCCTTCTAACTTGGGGTGGGGTTTTTCTCCACTTTAGAATTTGGATATATAAAGTTAGAGTGTTCATACATGACAGCCGGAAACTGTTGTTAAATAGGTACAGTATTCTTGTGTAGACAAGGCCTTGGAGTCTCCTGTGCTACTGTTTTCACTTGTTATTACCTCTTTATTTTTTGTTTTCTTTGAAGAGCTTTCACTCTGTAGTGATGATATTTACCTGAACAGTTCATCAGCTAATAAATGAGAGATTAAGCTCTGCAGAGGGGAAGACACTAAGGAGTCTGCAGGCACCTCCACCCCTTTCATCCCACCTGCTGCAGGGTGTGAGCTGTAGGCCATGTGGTGTAGTTGTAGTCACCTCACTTTTCCTGTTTTATGGGCAGATCTGGCCCTTAAGAGGCCAGTAGCATTCACCCCCTCCTGTTCATGTTCGACTGTATCTGTGGGAGCTTACCCCCTTCTTTTCCTGCTTTCCTTTAGACAAACTTTGACTCCACCGTGAGCCTTACTTTTCCAAACTCTGTATGCAGTGTTCTTGAGCTGTTCTTGGAGATCTGATTTCTTCATTGTTTTGCTTTATAATTAGGTGCAAATGCAACACTTAAGCTATGAATTAATAGTAAAGAAAATTTGCCACGTTGCTAGTTTTAAACTCTGTATTCCTGCTAACGCGAGGGTTTAAGGTAGGTAATGTGGCTGTGTCAGCACTGTATGTGTTAGGAATGCTCTGAATCCCAGGGCATTCATTCCTAAAATGCAGCCCTGTGGCCCATGTGGTTCTGGTAAAGCGGCTGGGTGAGGACAGAGAGCGAGCTGCTCGTGGAGGGGCCCAGGGCCGAGGCCAGTGTGGCTGGGCCAGCTGGAGCCTCGGGGCTCGGGGGCCTTGGGACTTTCATAGAAAGGTTCCCCAAGCGCCAGAGGCACTGTGGGCTTCTCTGCTTTCTTCCATCCTCTCCTGAAACTTCCAGGGTTGTTTCTGGCCTTGAGAGCAGTGAACTGTCTGGGAGGGGCACAGAGGGGCTTTCAAGCAGTAGAACTTTCTTCCTTGAAGCCAAAGGAATTTACAAGTCTTGTTCACATAAACTCCCTTACTTTAATAGTTTTCTGATGTTGTTCTTGACCATGAAAATGTCTTCATGCTAATGACCTAAGTCAGTATATGTAGACAATATATGTATGTTCAGAAAAATAGCTTGAATTTTGAAGGTGTTCTTAATAGATGTACATAATATTTCTACCATATGTTCTGAGTTACTTCTCCTCGTGGCCTCACAGTTAATTACTACTTGGCTCCTAAGGCTTTCATTTACAAACTGAAAGGAAGACTATTAAAAAAATCAACGAAAAAAATATTTATTAAAAAAAAGTCTATGGCTATCTTCCTTTTTATCTACTGAAATGATGGGTAATGCTTCATCAGCAATTTTATCTGTGAGGATTTCATTTCACTGGCATGGATTTAGTTCATGCAAATGTCTGTATGGACTCACTGAACATAAAATTTCAACTTTTGACTTAAGAACTGCAAGTTTGCATCTGTTTCAGTTTCTTAGTGTCAAAGTATAGATATGTCCTTGCCTAGGGGATAATAGCAAACCGGATTACTACATGTATAATGCCCTTAATAAAAAAGAAAGCTGTGAGATGAGGAGTGATTTTAAACTTCTAACATATGTCGTAACAAAAAAATTTCTTGTACAAGGCCTAAAATGAGTTGTAGCATTGTGTATTGTTAGACCGTTGTTGCTAGAAAGTATATTACGTGTGTGAACTTGCAGTAATTTTTGTAGTAAATAGTTTAAATAATACATAATTTAATAATATAAATCATTTTAAAGCATTTATGTTTTATTCAGCAAAAAACTAGGGACAAAATTAGCAATTTTGGTTTTACAAGGTAGCTTGACTTCAAAATTCTCCTGTTGCATGAGGCTAATGGCATAGCTAATGGTCTTTAGGCTCTGAACAATTCCCTATTTGACTGACCCAGCCTGAGAAGCCAGCAAGTCAATAAACGATACTCTGGAAAAGCCGAGTGCTTTACTCTTTTCACACATAGGTACATGCCGTGTCAGTGAACTGGCAGAGTAATTATTGCAGTGAATACCGATGAGTTACCTCACAGTGGCAGGTTAATGGTACCATTTTTCCAGCAAGAAAGCTGTGTGTCAGGAAATGTCTTGAAAGCTCTGCTAGGGCAAGCAGCATGCAGGGAAGGGTGGGTGAGGAAGAGGCAGTGAATTCTGGAGTCCTCTTTGTAATGCAGGGGATGGGGAAAAGGAAAACCATGAGCAGCTATACTTGAAATTAACTTTTGAAGTTGCACACAGTTCAGATGGCATGCGGTTCTCTCAGTGACTTCTGCACAAAGGCAGGCATACACCCGTTTTCAAATTCTTTTAAAGTCATTGCTTGTGTAGTAGTTCTTGGATCAGACACAGATAAAATGAGTTTCTTGAGAAAATAATATTTTCCAGTTTTCATAGAATCACACAATAGTTTGGGTTGGAAGGGACCTTAAAGATCATCTGGTTCCACCCCCCCTGCCCCGGGCAGGGCCCCCTTCCCCCAGCCCAGGTTGCTCAAAGCCCCGTCCAACCTGGCCTTGAACCCTTCCAGGGAGGGGGCAGCCACAGCTGCTCTGGGCAACCTGGGCCAGTGTCCCACCACCCTCACAGGAAAGAATTTCTTACATCTAATCTAAATCTACCCTTTTTCAGTTTAAAACCGTTACCCCTCATCCTATCACTACGCATCTGATACTGAGTCCCTCCCTGTCTTTTCTGCAGGCCGCCTTTAGGTACTGGGGGGCTGCTGTAAGGTTTTTTTCAGGACTTTTCACATGCTGGATTCCCGTTTTCATCATCTTGGTTCCACGAGGTGGCACTGTCTCTTCTGGGAAGGTCACAAACGCTTCAGCTTTCCCTCTGGGCAATGCTGCTGAGCTGCCTGGGGTGAGCATGGTTCAGTGATACTGTGCAGCGTAACCCGGTCAAGAGTTTTCTAACAGTGTCTTTTACTTTTCCATTAGTATACACCATGTCTTTTTGATACGAGTTATGTACATGTTCTTTTGCACAAAATACAGAATTTTTCATCTGAGTAGTGTTAGCTTGGGAAAACATCTTCTTGAGCTTCTTGCCTGCTTTTGTTTGTAGGTTTCTGGCATTCAGAGGAATTGTTTTATGGTGTGAAAGTTAAAGACAGATGATGATGATCCCAGAATGCTAGTTTACTTCATTTTGAGTCAGAATTGTGTGACTTTTGAACATGGGAAGGAATGACCAGTATCTATCATTATTTCTAGGAGGAAGGGAATGATTTCTATAGGATTTGCCAAATCCACTAAAGGTTTTTTTTTTTTCTGCAAGTTGATACAAAAAAGGTGTATGGATTCAGGAAATCAGGGACTGTAATGACAACTTCCCTGTAATAATACAAGCCAGATCTGTGTTCTATAGCAAAGGAACAGTTTTGCTGCTGTTCCTGAATTCTCTCTGGAGACATTATTTCCAATCTGCCTCTCACTGGTTTAAGAGCTCCTCAGTAGAGGATGTTTTCTTACTTTAGGATGTTTGCCTAGTTAGCTGTTAGACTAAGCCTGCCTTGTCAGTGGAGGTTGTTTTACCTCAGGAGACTATATCATTATTAAAAGCATTCACCATTGAAAAGGGTTAATTTAATTATTTTTTTTCTCTCTGGTTGACATCTAGAAAAATGGATGATGATGATGATGACGTTCCCCAGCTTTCATCCCATACATTGGCTGCCCTCCAGGAGTTTTATTTGGAACAGAAGCAGAGAGAGGGCATGAAGACCTCCCAAGGGTTTAATCAATATTCCATTGGCTCAATAGAGGAAGACTGGGTAAGAAACTATAAAGTTCAGTAAATGAAGCACAGTTAGAGGAGTAGCCTTCATCAGGTTTCTTTTGTGGATGGATAATGAAATTAAATGAAAAGGGGGAATGCTCAAGATGTTTCTAGAATAGCAAAATCAAACTATGCACAGACATTAACACTGTAGGGATATTTGCTTTAATATTAAATCTGGGTATGGTTGTCTGTTCTACATGTGCATGGGGGTTACAAACTGAAATTATGTGGGGAAGGAATAAAGCTGCCAACAGAAGCACCCATCCCTTCTGGAAATTTTAACTCCAGCCTGGCATGTGAAGGTAGTGAAGATTCTACCCTGAGTTTGAGACAAACACAGTGCGACAAGATCAAGTGATCTTTCCTTTCATACCATTTTTCTGTGTTTTATTTCTTTGGTTTTGTGGATGGCTGCTTTGCTGCTTTTTTCTTTGGACAGACTGATCTTTGATTTGTGCCTGTTTTTTTTTTTTTTTTTTTTTTTTTTCTGCTCTTCCTTTTCCTGATCTCTTCTGATTTAGTACTTTTACCGTTTATTTTCCTTCTATACTGTCACTTTTCAAGTTCATTTTTCCTCTTCCGCTAAAGTAACTCAATTTAAGAGTGCATAAATATTGTGCATCTGCATGATGGGTGTGAACTAACCTCATCAGTGGTTTTGCATTACTTGGTTTTCCTGATACTGCAGCAAATGCCTTGGAAACACAGTGTAAGATACTTGCTGCGTGTTGCTGGATTACAGAAGTAAAAAGACTGTCAGGAAAATAGTTACCTTTCCAGCTGTACAGTTTCTAAACTGAGAAGTTACTAGTGATTTGGGTGTTCTTCAAATATGACTCATCACACCTAACTGTACAGTCAGATGATTTGATGTTGTTTCTAACTGTGAGTTATCTTTCTCAGCAACTGAGCCAGTTTTGGTACAGCGATGAGACTGCTTCGTGCCTGGCTAATGAAGTGGTTGTGGCAGCTGGGAAAGGTGGCAGGTAGGTTTTAATAATCACGTTGTAGATTTAACATGTCTTTTCTGTAAATATTTGGTTTCTACTATGTAGACAGAGCATGCAGTTTAATTAATTACTCATTGTACTTCATCTTTCTTCAAATGAGATATTGAAGAAATGCTTTGCTGTTATTTAATTAATAGCTCATACTGATCTTAGCATTTAGGATTTCACTGAATGTTGTAGGCTCTGCCTTGTAAAAGTTTACTATGAATCTTTGTATTTTTTGACAAACACAAAGAAGTCCGGAACATATTAATGACTTGTAATTCTTTTCCCTGTTTTCTTACAACATTTCTGTAGAACAGATGGAAAAACTTAGTTTTCTTCCCATTTCTGTAAGGGGTCATTTTTAAGTTTTCGAGTATATTTCATTGCTGTTCTTAAACAAGATTTTCTCTGTAATTAAGCTTAAGGTCTTTGTGCAGCATGGAGGTTGAGCAGGTAATGGCTATAGTATTTAAAACTCTGCTATTAAATTATTTATTAGAATGGAGGAAGAATAACTTACATTTTTGGGACTAATGTTTAAAATGTGTTCCCGAAGCAGCCCTGAGGACTGCTGTAGGATTTTTTTGGTTGATGTTTACCTTTTAAATTCATTTTCTAAGTTACTGTTTCTTTTTCAGGATAGCGTGTGTTAGTGCACCAAGTGTGTACCAGAAACTGAAAGAACAGGATGGTAAAGATTTTTCAGTGTGTATACTGGAGTACGACAGAAGGTTTTCTGTATATGGAGAAGAATTTATCTTCTATGATTACAACCACCCTTTGAACTTACCCGAAAATCTCCTGCCACACAGTTTTGACATTGTAATAGCAGATCCACCCTATTTGTCTGAAGAATGTCTTCAAAAAACTGCAGAGACCATCAAATACTTAACAAAAGGAAAGATTCTGCTTTGTACAGGTATAATTAATAAAAGTATTAGGTCACCATTAAGCATCTTTTTTTTCTCAAAAGACAAACTTACTCAAGTGAGAAAAACACTAACTCAATAACACTAATTTATCGTTAATTCAAGGAGGAATGTGTATCCTACGCTTTTTATTGGCATGTATTAGTTCAATGTTTATTTTAAACTGAGGGCGTCTGGTTTTTAATAGTTGAAGCCAGTACATTTTTCATATGGCATTATGAGTTTTACTAAATTTTTGAAGAATTATAAGATCATCCTGCAAAGTTCCAGAAATATTTTTTTCTTGTAAAAGGGCCACTTTGTATAATTGCAATGATTGAAATCTGAGTATGACAAACTTTGGTGCAACTTACTGTTAATGTCTTATTCAGTAACCTTATGAATTTGATTTTTTAAATGTGTGTCAGTGGCTGCATGATTTCAGGTACCTCATATGCTTAGCATCAAAGGTGAGATAAGTAGAAAGAATGACAAATAGGTTGTAATGGCCTTTGCTGAGTAAAGTGGGATGATTTTAGCTAAGTCTTGAAAAACAAAGTCAACTTTTTTTTTTTTTTTTTTATATTACTAGTCCTTACTGGTAAATATAGAAATCGTAATGTGAGTGAATGTATGGGAGGATTCTGCCACTGTGATTCAAGTAAGGAGATCTTAGGCACTGAAATACAATGGGAGGAATTAAAAAACAGTGATAAGAGCAGTGAAACCGCATAACTTACCAACTGTACTTGCAGGTCCTTCTTTATGAAGATGCACTTGCTGGTTTAAGAAGCAATGAGTATCTGCCTTAGTCATGGCTTTTCTTAAACTGTAATCTTATTAAAAGACATCTGAAGCCATCCAAGAAACTTTTGCAAAAAACCCCCTTTACATACAATTTGAGGGAAGTCAACCAAGCAGGCAAAATAAAGAAAAAAAAAATATATGGCCACAGAAATCCTGCTTCTTTGTTTAATTGCACACGGCAGTCATGCACAAGAGTGGTTCTCAGAATTTCTTCCCTAAAATGGATAGGTGGTCCTTCAGTTTACAAAGTCTGAGAATACTGCTCAAGGAAATGATTTCTCAGTGTGTAGCTGTAAATATTGTTCTGTGGTTTATTTAAGTGGAAGAGTATATGTAATCTGTTTGCATTTCCCATGGCTGCCTACCATGTAATTTCTTTGGCATGTAGCAAGAAGATTGAGTTCAAGTTTCTGTTTTCTATAAAAGGGGCACCGATCTTACCCTCTACCTATTTTTCTGAAACTTCTTGGACATTCATTTCCTTGGGGCATCTTCCATTCTTTCATACTTACTTTAAATTTCCTGATTGATTCAGTTGTTAGAGAGGGCTGACAGTGTAGCTGCTTGAAGCCTTGCTTCCTTAAAAAAAGCAGGCTCTACATGTATGCATTTGGAAGGAGCCATTAAAAAAGCCCTAACATTCTGTTACTCTTTTTCTCATCGAATACTAATTACTTTTGCTGCAGGTGCAATCATGGAGGAACAGGCAGCAAAGCATCTTGGTGTGAAGATATGCAAGTTTATTCCAAAACACTTGCGAAATTTAGCCAATGAATTTCGATGTTACGTGAACTATACTTCTGGACTGGACTGATTCTCATAAGAAGATCTACAAGTTTTTCGCTCAAGCTCCTTTTTGATCAATGAATACACATTTTTCAATGCTGAAATATTCAGCTCCGAGTACTGTTTTCTGAGCTAGCTTTAATCAACACAGTGTGATAGCCTTTCTTTTAAATGTGTAAGCATTTGCAGTCACTGTTTTGTATCTTACCTATTAGGTAAATGGGGACCAAACAATGCGGGTGCTGGATGATGGGAACTTCTCTGTTAGAGTTTCGTTCTAACTGGTAGTTTTTACCGTTCAAGGACTCTTCAGTGACCTCTCTGAAGTGGTCTTAGCTGGTTAGCTTGTAACAACACATAGGTGCTTGCCTCACAGACATCGGGATCATCATTGCATCAGAACTGATGACTTGGTAGCTAGTGGATGGTTGAAGGAGCATGAATACTGGTCTCCTTTCAATCTTGGGAGATGATCCCTTAGTAAAAGGACCGAGAGATGTTTGTTCTCAATGTGTCATGTGCTTTCAGACTCATTATCCAGCAGGCTGATGTTTTTATAAAGGATAACTAGAAGAGAAAATAGGTCTCCTTCTGGGGAGGCCTCTCCAGTTGCTTTTAATAATAATCAGAACAACCTAAGAGTTGCCAAGTAGGATAAGACCTCTATCCACTATTGTTGCCAGACTGGCTTTTTAAAAACTTGTGGTTATTATTTCACCTTTTCTGTAAAGCCCAGACTTTCTTCTTGTGAGAAAGATTTATTTTGTCATCACTTACCACCATCTAAACTTGTGTACACATGTATGCAGTACTAGAGAAAAAGTAATCTAAGTTGTTAAATGTCTCTTTGCAGAAGTATGGTGTATTTATTTTGTGATGTTTATGTGTTAGCACAAAAAAGTCATGAGCTTTTAAAAGACCACACAACTAGGTTGTTCTATTTACTAGTTAAACTGATCTCCAGAGGTGGTATAAACCTGATGTCTCCTTGAAAAAAAGCACAATAAGGACTTCCCCATTAGAGAGAGTTTTAGTTTCATGAAGAATCTCATGCATTAGTCAGGCCAAATCACCTGGAATACAAAGTAATTACTAAGTAAAAATGTAACACATCAGCCAGTCCTTCTGTTAGTGCTTCAGACTGTGTTCATGGGCTCTCACTTGGAGTTGCTGTTGGTTATGAGATACTTCTGTAGTGATATGACCCATACATGTTAGTCCCTTAAGTCTTGAATCATAATGGATTTGATTAAATATAGTGCCTGCTTTTTAGTAGATTTCAATATCAAGTTAAAGATGATTTACAGGTATGTCAAGTTTGTAGTTACAAGAATAGTCCTTTTTTTCCAATTTCCCGGTTTTATCTTTGCCTGCTGACCCACAGACAGCAGCAGAGCAGAAGTATCATCTTAGAAATTGTTGAATCTTACAAAGCCACTGAGGTATAACATAAGGTATTGATAAACTCCTGCTGTTTCTAATAGACAAATGTTAAATTTTATATACAAGGTTTGGGCTATATTTCAATCAAAATAGATGACACATCAGAAAACTTTGCTTTGGGATAGCAGAGATTTTTGGTAACTGGGAATCTTTAAAGCCAGTTTGACTAACCTTTTGACTACACTACTAATATATTTTTGGTTGAAAGCTGGTTGCTAAATTCCAAGGCACTCAGCAGTTTTCTCAGATATAAATATACTATACACAACATAAGTACTTGTTCTTATATGCTGTATTTATATATTGGGATTGTATAAAAGGCTAACAGAAATGAAGCACCTAAGTTTAAGAAATTTATTTTGTGGTGGGGATAAACCTAATTAAGCTTGTGAGACAAAATTTTAGTGAGGTAGAGATAATACTCATGTTTCTGTGCATTTCTGCTGTCTGGATGGAGATTTTCCCATTTGATGGAGTAAACGAATGAGCAGGAATAAAACAGATGGAATATAATCCTCTCTCAGTGCTCAGAGAATCATGCTTCCTGAGCTGGACACAACACTGGTTCGTAAATACCTGTCCAAGCCACTGTTGCTCTTACCCATTTTCCAAGAGATCTGTTCACTTCCTAAAGCTTTTCCCTCCTCACATTTTGTATCTGCTGCTTCCCTATCCCTCCCCCCGCATATAGTGTTCCTGAGTTTCACGATACCAGTTTTCTTTGTCTTTCAAGCACCTTGCTTTCTATCAGACTGGTAATAGGTATTGTTAAAACAAGAGAAGTGCAGCAGAGGAAGAGCTTGCAGGGAGAATGGAGACGGGGCGCTTCTGGCAGTCTCTGAGAGCCCACAGCTGGTACAGTTTTGCCTTTCAAACCAGAAGCCATCCTTGCTGCTGAGCCCAGTAAAGCCAGACTCCCCCCTGAAAAGAACTGTCCACAGGTGACATACAGCTGGGGTTAGCTGTTTTCCAGGAGACTATGCCATTACTTTTATGTGGCCAGTTTCAAATTAAAGCAAACCAGAATGTTACATGCACAGGTATTGGCACAAATCTGTACTTCGCAATTGTAAACCATTTTATGGTTATTACCTCAATGTCTTGCACACCAAGCAGATGGAGACAGTGAAGTAACTCCTGAAACTTTAACTATGTAGAGGCTTCAGGTGGGACAGGTATGATTGCCAGAAGGGATGATGTTCTTCCCCCTCACACACCTAAATGAGAGCGTGCAGTTCAAATACAAGCGTCACCTACGTTGCTGCTTGCCTATTAATTCCTTCAGTTATCTGCTTCATTTTGGTAAATGTGTGTTGTTGGGCTCTGTATAGCAGAAGTAAAAGACAACTTTTCTAACTTCATCAGAGACCTTTCTTAAAGTAAACCATTCAGTTGTACCAAGAAATTCATTTCACCAAGAAAATAATCTCTATTTCTCACATGTAGGTCAGGCCGCTTTAAAAAGAGCCACTGTGAAGATGCACGATTATGAAAATGAGGGTACATGTAAATCTGTGTAAATGTAGTCAACAGAGCAGCCCGTTGTCCACCAGCTTCCCTCTTAAAATCCCAGTGAGTGCAGGCAGCTGCCCAAGCAGAGCCTGCCTAGTGGCATTTAAAGCCTTCAGCAGTGATAGGCAGGGAACTATTTTTGTCGTACTTGTTTCCAAGGAAGTAGCTGTGTGAAGGCTACGAATCACAAAAATTCATAGTGAATTTCTGCTTTGTGCCATTGCAGTAATTTTAAGAAATGTTATATGGTAGCAAAATCTCTCTTCTTTTCTGTAATAGGCTTATGAAAAAAACCTTCAGTGTCAAGCAGTGATTGGCTTGCTTTATTGTGGATGTCTCATAGATGGATTTGCCACTAGAATAGACTGTGTTGTAGTGTTATTACAATGCTATTTTTCCAGTGGCACTTATGACTGCAGAGTCGTATGTGCTACAGCCTCTTGGCTGCAGTAACAGACACTGTGCAGCAGCAGGGCATCTCAGTGCTCTGCTGTCGGTATGAATGTGACACTTGGCCGAGGAAACCTGGGGTCTTGTGCACAGGCTGATGGCTGTAGGTGGAAGTGAACATACGGCAGCTGCCTGCACCTCACTCCAGATGACAAACGAGACATTTCTAGACACGCTGTTGCCTGAAGTCCAAGGTACTGCTTCCATTAACATCTAATCTGCACTGCCTGTTACAAATGGCATTGCTGTCAGCTCCGTGTTGCACAGTTAACCCGTATCTGTGCCACACACTTGCCTTCACCCATCTGCCCATGCCCCGCTGTACCAGAGCAAGTGGGCAATATCTCTGATGGTTGGATTTGTCATTCTCCCCAGGGCCGTGCAGTGAGATGGGGTACAAGGTGGCAGGGTTCAGGCTGCAGAATGTCAGCCCGTGTCAGGGCTCCGCTGCCGCTCTGGGACTGCTCATGTTCTGCAGCCCCCTGAGATGGGACTATAGCAAAACCGAGTGGTAGCTCATGCCGCTACTCATCAAAACGTGTAGGACTGACCAGATCTCCCTCATGTGCTCTAATCCAGGTAGTTATGGCTGTTCCCTAATCCCAGTGAGATTAATGGGTGTTTCACAGCCTTTTTCCCTTTTCCCCTTGCTGCTTTCAAGTTCATGTTGCCCCATGCGATTTCACGTTTATTTTAAGCTGCAGACCTCCACCTATTCAAACACCTACATGTAATGACTGGCTAGTAAACCAAAGCATCTCAGGCTTTTCTCAACCTTCCAGAATGATATGAATTTTCCAACCTATCTTAAGTGATACTACACTTAAAGAGAAAATAATCTCTTTACCAAGGATATTGTTCTGTGTTTTGTGGCTCCTAATGTATTCCAGGGACAACCTCATTGAAGGAAAAGATTTTCCTGGCACAACAAAAATTTTCTCAAATCAGCTGCAGCTGCCAGATAGTTTCAGCTTTGAATTGTTTGGATTTATTGGGCCTGGAGTTGTTTCAATGAGGCATTTCATGTCTGCCTTGTGTCAACAGTTTGTGAGCCTTGAAGCAACTCCAATGAACCCTCCCTCCTCCCATGCAAATTAAAGGCAAGGCTGCAGCAGCTGTAACCGGAGGGCTAGAGGCTGGAAAATGTCACACCACAGTTGAAGTGAAACTGATATAAATCCATGATGTGATGAGCTCCTTAAAAAATAGAATTCCAAACAAACACCAACTACATTTAATACTCAACCTTTTCCACATGAGTAATGTAGAGAGAGTTTATATATGGAAGGGTATTTTTAAGGTTAGCAAATGTTTGTGTAGCTAATAGTTCTTGATGTTAAGTATTAACAAACAGTTGTTCAGTAACAAATTACTATCAAACAGTTGCTCGTGCTAAAACATAAACATAGCTTTTTAGAAACACCTTACTGGAAAGCTGGATTGGGAAGCAAATTGGCTCAGCTGAAAAGTCTGTCAAAGAGGAGGGTGAGGATTAAAAAAGGAAAATGGACTTCTAAGTAAAATAATATGAGGTTGCCTGTAACCGTAGGAAGCTTTCTGCACTTGTTGCAGTATGGTGAGAAGGAGGTCGCCAACATACATAATCAATTGATCCACTGAGGTTTTGCAGTTCGCTAACACTTTCCTTTCAGTCATCCAATTCCTGAAGCTATATGTAAGCTAAAGCATCTGTTTTTCTGGACTGGGGAAACCGATTGTGTTCCATTTACCTGATTTTAGCTTGTGACTCCCAGGAATTCCCAGAACATGCTCTAGTTACTTGAAAACCTCAAACTGCCTCCATAATTTATGCCTGCAGGACAAAAGAGTTGCAACAAAAAGTGAGATTTTTTTCTCCACATCATGCAAATAAATCCACATGCTCTAGTAACTAAATTGTTGCAGACAAATTCATATAACAAAAGGGTGTGAGCAGACAGATGAGTCTTGCTGCAGGGCAGTGTAGTAAATATTTAGTAGCTAGTAGCCCTTCTGGGTATTTACTAAATGTTAAGGGCTGTGTGGTTCGGGAATTTTTTGGTTTTGTTGTGGGTTTTTACTGTCTTTTACTGTGAAGACTTTGCTTTATATGCTGTGCAGTCTGAAGGTACAACTTCACCCTGTCCAAAGTTTGTGTATGGAGAAAATAAACCCCCACACTTGAATAGGGAAACCGTAAGATCTTAGACTGCTGAAGCATCATCTTATGGAGTGTTTCTCCAGTTTCGTGGGTCTGCTTCCCTTTTGAGCCCCTCTGTCTTTGATTAACATTTCCCTCTTCTCAGAGGGTGAGAAATCTTCCCCATTAGGAGGAAGGAAAAGCAGCTGTAATTGCCGCAAGTATTTACGTTCTCCGGGGAACAGGTAACTACCTTTAATTGCTGGCAGCAGCTAGGCAATTAGCTGTTCTCTGAGTAGTATAAACACCTTATGACCTTCTTTGAACCTTTCTTTCAGAACCCCCTTGAGATAGAAGCATCACAATTTGAGGAAACACAGATCTGAAAACAACTAGAACTGTGGAAAAGCATCTGCACAAGAAATGCGGTTATAAATTTCAATCTGACATTGTGATGGGAATCGTTTATTGGCTTTTGGAGTTCTTAAAGTTGTTTTAGGCTTTGTAAGAAGCTATACAGATTGCACTATAAAAATACTGTTATACTAGACTGAGTCATAAAGATCACAGTCAATCATTATGTACCAAGACAAGGAGTTGTCATATGACTTTCATTTTCTATTTAACTTGTTAATTCTGGGTAGCTCATATTCTTTTCATTCTTCATCTGACGACACTCCAAAGGAGTGTGTTTGTGTAGCATAGGGACTTTCTCCACTATGAATGAAGCCCAATCTTGAGATTCTTGATGTAGCACATACATTGCTGCATATGGTATTCATTCTTTTTTGTAATGATATTGCAATCATGATCCGTCAACTGTAAAAGATACTCTCCGCTGCACGTTCAGGGATTTATCAACTTACTTTGGTGAAGCTGGTCGTCAGAAGAATTGTTTGTGCAAGGTATCCCTGGTTATTCCTGATTCTCATTCATTAGACTGAGCCAACCTTCAGTCTCTTGTGGAAATGCAAGTTTTCGTGTATCTAGGGTTTCTGGTTAGGGCTTGCCATCAAGTTCCTGTAAGCTGCAAAGATGGAATACTGCTCTTCAACAGACTAGCATCTTCTGCAGGTGATTGTCTATTATGTGTAGCATAGGGAAAAATGAGTAACACTTATTGTATAAATCAGTTGGATTTAACAAGTTTGGATTCGTTGTGACTCACCTCAATGACCTCTATAGAATCTAGAGTTTAAGACCTAGCCTATTTACTCATCTGCAATGTACCTGTGTCCTGGGTTGAGTGGTGGGGTTTTTTGGTAGCAGGGGAGGGGGCAATAGGGGCGGCCCCCTGTGAGAAGCTTCTCGAAGCTCCCCCAGCTCCAAGTCAGCTCCACCTCTGCACCAAAACTAAGCCAACCAGCTGCGCCTCTGTGAGAACATATTTAAGAAGGGACGTGGTGACAGGCAGTGGGACTTGTGAGGAGGAGTTGCTGCAGCTGCATGAACACCAAGGTCAGTGGAGGAACGGAGGAAGAAAGGAGGGGGGAGGTGTGCCGGAGCAGAGACCCCCCTGTATCCTGTGGGGAGACGGCAGGGCGGCCCCCCCTGACACCCATGAAGATCTACAGTGGAGCAGACACTGATTTATGGCCTGTGGCTTCAGCTTGAACGATCAAGGTTCTGTGCCCGAAGAAGGCTGGGGTCTCGTGGAAAAAAGGTAGCCCCACTGCTGTAATTCAGCGCTGGGAGGATTGCAGCATGTGGGGGAGTCCCACGCCGGAGCAGCTCGGGAAGGGCTGCAGCCATGGGAGAGAATCCAGTCGGAGAAAGTTAGTGACCCATGACGGAGCAGTGTGGGGAATGCTGCGGCCCATGGGAGGAACTCATGTCGGAGAAAGTTTGTGGAGGACTGTCTCCTGTGAGAGGGGGACCATGATGGAGCAGGAGGAACAAGTTCCGGACACTCCCCTCACCAAACATGAAGGAAGTGGCAGCGCTGACTGCACCCCCCATTCCCTGCCCCTGCGCCACTGGGGGAGGAGGTAGAGATATCGGGAGCAGAACTGAACCCGGGAAGAAGGGAGGGGTGGGGGGAAGGTGTTCTCAAGATGTGGCAATGCTTCTCGCTGTCCTACTCTGTTATGTGTTGTTAGTGTCTGTAATAAATGTATGTTCTTTTTTTTCCTTCCCCTAACGAGTCTGCCTTTTGCTCATGATCATAAAAGGGAATTTTTCCCCATCCCAGTCCTATCTCGAACCCCAAGCCTGGCTCTCTGTCCCTTCTCATTGCCGGAGGGGAAGGGAGAGAGAGCTGCTGCATTGTGGTTGGCTGCCAACCAGGCCCAAACCACAACAAGCAGTTAATCATGAATGAAATCTAATACAGAATTATTGGGACCCAAACTGTGTTTTTTCTAATTGATATTTTCTGTGTAATTAGACTCAGTCCACATCAGAAAACTCCCTTGCAGTTTTACAATATTCTAGCATGCTTTTTCTCAACAGTTTTGTACCCTTAGGAATTCAGCAAGTTTAAAAATAGCAAACTCATAGAATATTGTTTCATGAATGACTCAAACTCAGCAAAGGTTTCCTTGCTGTAGTGTATAAATAGCCAAAGATGTAACAGCCAAGAACACTGCTTAGAGTTGAGATATGCAATATAAAGGAAGGATCTCCCAGTCTGAGAAATTATCCTTTTAACTGCTGATTTGGCACATGTACGGCAGTTATGTTTTTTTTATATAAGAGTATTTAAAAGCAGAGTATAAGAAATTCCTTAAAAACATCTACAACCAGTAGTCTGCTACAGTAATAGCTATCATGTCTTACAGTTGCATCATCTAAAATTTACTGTGAATAAGCAAGGATAAAATGTGCTACTCTAAGAAAAAAGAAAGCTACTTTGGAATTTGCAACAAATACTTACATGAACTAAAGAAGTTCTTAATATGAATTGTCATCTCTAATGATCTGAGTGACTGGACAAAACTTTCCACCTTATAAGCGAAATAACTGTAAGTAGAAAAAGAGGGTAAGTCAATGTGTTTGCTGCTGTGGTGTAGTTTCCTGAGATGGTGAAATAATGGTGTGTAGCCAATACTGTAACATGACTCTATATATTCTTCATTCTGATGATGGCTTGTTCTGGCTCACCAGCAACTTCATTTCTTGCTTATCTATGCTGGAATTTACACTTTCGGTCTCTTTTTCTTGCTCAGGTACACAAGTGCAGCCCACTGGGATAGTGACATAATCTTCTGTGTAGACATAACGGCCTCCAGCACACGACGATGTGCGACGGAGGATGACTGTTGGCATGTACACAGGGGTGCTGCGGAAGTGAAAATTCTCCTCGCCAAAGATCCCCATGAGGCAGCCTTTGCACAGACAGTATGCTTCAGGAATGTATTTAGGGTATCTTGTGGGATCATACGAAATTCTATTAAGGAAGCAAATAATAAAGATTCATTAGTATCTCTAAAAATAGATATATTAATCTGGAAAACATTATTACTATGTGATTTGACTGTAGACATTTATATAAAGTTTTTGTTTTCTTTGCCAGGAAAAATAGCTGTAGCTGTTGCTGTCTGGCTTCTTATTTGTGAAGTGTAAAGAAAAAACATGAAGAACTTATAGAACTGATCAGGTCCTACAGTGCACACTGAAGTATGAAGTGACTGGCTTTCTAAAATGTGGGAATCAGGGGCTTAAGCAGAGTTAAGTTTTGCATTTTGGACTGAATGGGTAAATACAGCATTAGAAAGGACTCTGGGCACTTCCAATCTTTTGATCTGCCTTGAGTTCTTCAAAAATTGGTACAAATCCTTGTTAACACTATTATTGTTGAAGCTATGACACAATGTTTTAAAATTGTATATTTTAAACAGAATCAAATTGAACTATTATTTCTGCAACAGCTTCAGCTCCCTAGTATACCTGGGGTTATAAAAGTGCCTTCCTCTTGAAAGCAGAGCTCTGTAGTTCTTTAATTCACTGCCACTGTCTTTTCCTCTAACCAGAGAGGAGTAACATTTGCATGCCCACACTGAGATAAACTGCAAAGTTAATGTTTTTTCTGCCCTCTCCTGCTATATTTTGAAGTAAAGCATTGCCCCAGAGCTTCACAAATATAGCCTCTTGTTGTCTTACAGTTTGTTGTTTGACCCTTTCTTTTTGTTTATTAATGCACTGTCTCTGGAAATTCCTGATTACCAGGAGCTGGAAAGCTTGTAACCTAAGTACAGCTTGGACCAACAGTGTCCAAATTCCAACATTCCTCTCTGGCTGTTGTTGGTCGCAAAATCAAAGTTGTCATACTATGGTCTCACGTCATACAGATCCTGGCTGACCTATAGCCATTGTTTTTAGCAAAGAGACTATAAGCTGATAAAGCTTGCTTGTTTTTTGAAATAAAAGACTAAGCACACAGTAGAGTGCATGTACTGGAGTGTGTAGCCATGCTGCTTACTGTGGTGGTGATGTATTCGTTGCTTTGTTCTTTACCCACTTTTCCTGCTTATACTGGAAGTAATTCCTGGGCATGGTTGTAACTTGTACATTATTAAAACTGTGTCATTATTCTAGAAAAGATGTTCATACCTGCAGAGAAAGAGGAGTTTTTAATATGTTTAACTCCTATGCTCGCTGCCCTCTTTGTACCTGTAAGCTTCTTCCAGATCACCTTCTATTCTCACACTGTTACAAAACGAGCCCTGCTTCAGCACTGGTTGCGCTGTCTGGCTGGAGAGGGATGACTGTTCTATTTGGCTGGAGAAGCGTTCAGCCCAGAAGCACCACCAACCACCTCTTGGTGCTCCTCCCCCGCGAGTCCGGCCCCCCCTTTGGGATGATGCTGACTTCAGTTATCAGAAGCACTTACCCACCTGTCAGGTAACAGAAAATCCTTTTCTGCCCTTTCTCCCTGCTCCTACTTTCACACAGTAGATGGTTGGACCTACAATACCCATGGTGCACAGCAGAAGTATCCTACAGGCTGTTACTGGCATGCAGAGAGCATGAAGACACACCCGGACATCACCTAGTCCAAATATCTCCATGAGGGAAGCTCTGAAGTATTTGCCTGTGTTTGTCCAGCCTGTTCTTAAAAACCTTCAGAGAAGAGATCCTCAGCCTGCCCAGAGGCTCTGTTGCAGTATTTCACCACCTCTTTACTTGATAAATTTTCCTAACAGTGAAGCAGAGCATTTTTTGCTTGCAAACTAAATCAATCATTTCCCATGTTTGGATAGGATATTACAGCAACTGAGGCTAAAAAAAAAAAACAGTAACAGTCAAAGATTTGACACCAGAGAGAATGTTCAAGCCTGTAATGTTTACTGTGATGTGAAGCGCTGCAAAATCAGTAAAAATTCTTGCACTGGGTTTTAAGCCATCCCCTACTTGGGATCAGGACAGGACCACCACACAGTAGATAAAGTGGGGCAACTACATAAGAAAAATTAATAAATTAAATACTTGTCATCAATATAATTATTTATGGGATGATACAAACTACTGAGTATACAGCGTCCCCTGCCCACAGCAGCTTCAGAAGAATCGATTTTGCAAACTGCAACAGATTTAAAGTGATTCCTAAATTGTGTTTCCCAGGGTTTGTACCACTTCCCTCAGGTATCAGAGTGTTAGCCTTTTGTCTTTTCAGGTGGCCTCTGTGGTGAGGTTTCAGCAGTAGAAGAGGCAGCATAAATCTGCCTCAAGCTGTGATTGCACCATCACTTCTAGTCAACAAAATCTGCACTTGCCAAAACCTGCAGCCTGGCTCTCTCTCTCGCTTCCACCCTTGGGTTGATGCTGATGTTCTTCTGGTCACAGGATTGATCAGGGAATTCATCCAACTGAAAAGTAACTTCATCAAAAGCTGGATTTTGGTCCTTCATCTGTTTTGCCACATATACACAGAGCCCTACACAAACAAGCAAGCGTGAACAAGCTGCTGTAGATGAGAGCTGCCCTTTTCAGAAGTATCACCAGCTTATCAGGTATAAAACAAATCTGGAATCACAGCTTCAGCCAAACACAAATTTCATTATCCTGTCATCAAAGAGACTTTTTTTTTTTTTTCAAAGATCATATAATCTGGATTCTTTGTCTTTTTAAAGAGTTTGTTTTCCACACAGAAAAATCTGACTAGCTCTCTCATAGCCAGACATCTGTGATGTTGTAGATATTTTTTGCAAAGCTTCTCTGTCCCATTTATACTTGCTTACTTTCTCCAGGAAATACCTTCATGTTACAGGATCTCACACCAATGTGAAATAAAATGTCTGGTAGCCAGCAGAAGGGAAGAAAGTGGAATACAGGCTTTTCTACCGTGATACATTCCCATTTCAAACTCAAGTGTGAATAATTTCAGTGGCGGATTGTTAAACACACCATATGTCAAGTCATTGGTATTTCCTCTACTGTATTATCTCTAGCACCTGGTTTATGATGTTACTGGAAAGCATGAACATGTTTCTGGATGCAAACATATGAGTTTGCACGAATAACAAGAGAACACTGTCACTGGAATCATGGTCTGCAACAAACCTCCCCCTCGGAATTCCCACATGGCAAAAGGCAGGTATAAATGAGGGGGTTCTAGAAGGACAGTGTGATGTGGTTTTCTACTTTCCACAGAAAAATCTCTTATATTGCTAAGTCTCAGGTAGGTACCTCTACTCCATCCTGTGAGGATTGGAAGGAATCAGAGAGGATCGAAACTCAAAGACAAATCCAAAACATAGACATGGTTTTGCATCCATACCAGAACTTTAAGACTAAAGGCTCTAAGTAATGCCTCCTGGAATTAAATGCTGAACTCAAATGTCACTAAGCTTTGGAGCCATATCCAAGGTTCTGCATCTTCAGCTCAAACCTGTTAAGAAAGGCCATATAACTGAAGCCTCATTTTTATCTTTCTCGGCAACCCAGACTGATTTGGATCTGAACCATTAACAAACACCAGTAACTGAGCCGTATAAATGCAGTTGTGTGACCTGCTTCCTCTGTTAGCATGTGTTGAACATAATCACACTGCGCATATAATGACCACAGCCTCAGCTGCTGTAGTGTAATGCATCTCCATTACTCCAAGCACTACAAGCAATGTGTTTATGTCTTCTCCTGGAACAGGACAAACATGTTTGATCAGGTTAACCATGTAAAACACATGCTCCAAGTTCCCACTGACTCTTTCCTATACGCAGTGAAAAACGCACCCAACTGTGGTGGACACAACAGAAGCAGCTGGGAAGAGTGGTGGAAGACCAGAGAAATGCAACTTTCCTCCGGTACCCAAGTGTCCTCTGCATTGTTGTGTCATTTGCTGTGGCCACTGCTGCAAACTAGACAGCCCAGCCGTTTTGATGAGGGTTGCCCTTGTCCCGTGAACTCAAGTTACAAGTATGTAAGGCTAACTCTGCCTAGCCAGCGCTCCTGATTTACAAACGACAGAAGTGAGCTAAGCTGGACTGCTGTTTCAATCTGCTGGAACAAGCAGCAGGTTTGTACTGAACTGGAACTGCTAATGAAGTGTGACTAGTTCTAGGCTGCTTTTCCTTATGACCCTACGAGTGCTTTGAGAGCTCCCAGTAAAAAACAAACTTCCTGCCGTTTATGTACTAAGCCTGGAAACTCAAGAGAAAAGTTTCTGTCAGAAGTAAAACTCTTGCAAAGACTTAATCTGTCTTGTCCTCTACTGCTGCTTTCATATGTAGTATTTTTAATAATATTATCACTTCATAGTTTCCAAGCTTCCAAATCCACTGGGTCAGATGCTGTGCTGGGGCAGGCAGATACAGCTGACTCTTCAAAAAACCACTGTTAGCACTAGGCTAACACCTGGATGTTATCAGAAGTTTAATGATCAGATCATCATCCCTTTACTTCACACTCTAAAATACTTATAGGATTAAGAGCTAACAACTTTTTTTTTCCTCTTGGCAAGATGCTTATTTCTCTATAGCAGGTGTTCTTTTGTTCACATTATGCTTAGTTTATTTTATATACAGATAGTAAGTACAGCGCTTGCATAAAATAGCCTAGTGCTAACAGTGATTTCCTGAAGAGTTGTATGAACATGTAAAAGGATGGCAGTTCTGTATCCCCTTGTATTCTTTCCCTTGCCTGAATCTTTGGGATACAAATGCTGTGCCACATGATAATGTTAAATCCTGGAAAATTTCTTGGATAAGGCCCTTGAAAATCACTGGAGTATTTTTTAAAGGAAAGCCCTCTTGACTTTTTTTGGCAAGTGCTGCAGACAACGTTGGCTTTGACCAGCAGAAAAAAGACTAGCCTGTATTACTTTTATTAAGATTTTATGTAGATGAGCACTAAACCAAGGATGCTTATAAACTGAAACCATTTTTTGAAAAGCAGAAAAAAAAAGCTGGGCAATGTTTGAGAGAGGGACTAGCTAACATAGGATTTCACGATCAGATCAACACTGACAATAAAAGATCGCTGTAACTTAACCCTTTGTAAATGCAGGATTAGGCCCTGGAGACTGATAGAGAAGCCATAAGATTTTGAAATTTTGAAATGGGAATGACTTCCTGAATACACATTCAGAACTTTTGCTAAATTTGTGCCAAAGTGTGTTTGCAGAAGACTCTGAATGTATTCCTACAAACCAGCTATGAATGCTATTATAACCTTAAGACAACAGAGAATAAAAATAGAGCTGATGTATATAGCTGATTAATGAATGGCAACTGTGCTCTGCCGCACCATGAACAGAATCAGAAATCAACACTGCCTGTAAACGTGCTGTTCACTTCAGTGGGATCAGATTTTTCAAGCCTTACTCTGAGCTTTATGATCAGACCCTGCAAACGTTTAGGCACACATTTAAAATTAGTCCTTTTTATAATGGCTCTTGTCCATGAGCACGTATACATCTCTGGAGCCGAGCTTGCATTGGTAAAGATTGAGCATGATTATTGCTTCTGTAAATTTTAACAAGCAGCACCCATCCTGTGTTGTCAGCAGGATCTGTAGGTGGCAAGACAACCCATATTGCTAATTCTTGTGAAGCAACTGTGAGCCACAGCAATAGCCAAGGACCACGGCCCTGGCCAGTACCTCCTTGTACAAGCAAGCGTTCTGGATTTCATTGAGTGTCCATGTAATACTGCTAAAAAGGACAAGCAACTCCTGGATAGATCTCACAAACTGGCACGCAGTTGGCCTGATGATTTCATGGCATGATGACTTCATGGCAGAGTTTCTGCTACTGGCTCTGTTTTTTAAAAAACCTGGGCAGTTCTTAGATCGACTTCCTGAAGTGCTGAGCAAATACAGTGTGCTCAAGATTTCACTCCACTCAACTGACTTCAGGGAACTCTGCTGTGTCCTTATAGCTCTGCAGAGTAAGGAGCGATCCATATGATTCAGCTTTGTACCCTGAGTTATATACTGATCTCCTGTGGCCATCAGGATAGAATTTCGGTATCAGGCAGATGAACTAATATTTTTCCTCTAACTTTTGCCTCAAATACCAACTGTTGGTTGCTGCCAGGAGCAGGATCGTGAACCAGATGGATCTGTGGTGCAATCCATGTGCAACTCCTGTATCTCTGGGTTGTAGCAAGCCAAAAATGATGTAAGTCTTGATTTTTGTATAACCAAATTAAAGACCAAGTGATAGAAAATAAAATAGTAAGCACAGAACAAATACAAGGAAGGAAGCCACACGAGGATTATCTGTACTTTGAGCCAATCAGACCTAATTCTTCCACACTAAATAGAATGACAAACTTGGGTATATGTGATGCACTAGGGTGAATGTTATACACAGATCTCTAAGTAATATATTTGATTCTTTCTCACAAATGCTGGTATGAGAAAATTTCAGTTGACTTGTACTGAATGGTCATGTGAACTGAAGAATTACAAGAAGCAGTGTTAAACAGCTGGGAGCAGGTGCCTAGGGAGATATGCAAGGGAAGGTAAGTAAAGCCAGACTTAATATCTTTATTATTAATGACCTGGAATAGGGAGTATAAACAGCATGTTAATGAAATCTGCAGATGGTAACAATGGGAACTGATGCAACACCAATGAAGACAGAGAAACAGCAGGAGGTATCGCAGACATTAAAATGCAGGTCAAAAAGGGAAAAAGACCTTTTGCACACAGAGCAGAAATCAATTGCACTGTAACTCTTTAGGGGCAGAAAAGAAGTTGGAGAGCAGGTTGTCTGAGAGACATGCTGAAATGGGGCAGGCATCTTGATGCAAGTTTCAAATAGACAAATTCATGCTTTGAGGGGTGTCCTATCAAGATGTCCAAGAGGGGACTGCCTGAAGTGAATTAATTTCTGGGCATTCACTACTAGAACAACACTGGTGATTCAAAGGTAGCTCAGGAGACAGCAATGAAATCTTGGCAGGATGAGTGAAGGGGAGCAAATCAAGAGGAAAGATTAAAAGAATTAAATGTAAGTAGGCTTGTCAGAAAAGTTCTGTGTTACAGGAGAGAGCTGTATGCAGTTTTTCAGAGTAACGCCCCTGCCATGGAGAAGAAATTGTTGGGATATTAGAAGTGGAGTTGGTTTACCACTGACAAGATGTAATGTGTCATTACTTGAAATCTTTAATGGAGAGTTGCATATTCTTTTTAAAGATACACAGTAGCTCTGACGGGATTTGGGAGCTTGCTTCCAGGGTAACCAGGTGAACACTACAGATCAGACCAGATCTCAATAATGCTTTTATCTGGCTTCAAAATCTATGAAAGAGCAGGTTGTAATAACAAATACACATTAATGTTCATAATGAGCAATTTTATATTTTACATTTCCATTATACACCTTGCAATGTCTGTTGCTGTCTCATTGCACACAAATGATACAGTAAAAATATAGTCTAGAAAAAAAGCTGTAAAGGACATGTGTTAACTAGACAGTGTACTGAGGCCTCTTCACCCTAGAGAAACAATTTTTCCCCTAAATGTAATTTTAGATTTTGCCTCTAACTGTGTAATAGGGGTTTTTTCACTATCTTTTAAAATTTCTAGCTTCGAGGTGTCATCATGTTACTTGTATGTGAATGGTTAGTGGTCTGTTTGAAAACATTTTGATGGAAAGTACAGTGGATTTACAGCTGCTTAATAAAGTTTTTGTAAGCCAGGCCCCAAACAGCAGCTGGTTCTCTGTTAAGAAGAAAACCTATACAGAGCTCCAACTGAAAATAAATACTTGCCCAATGAGATGTGAGCATGGAAAGCACTGTTTTCAGACCAGAAGAACAATTTTCTGATAGCACTAGTATTTGGCAAAAGCAACGTAAAAAATACCTGAGCCTAATGGTAGGTGTTCTGTTCATCATACTTGCTTTTTGCATGCTTAGGTAGCTTGAAAAATCCTCAGTCTGCTTACAGAAAATGTATTACTAAAAATACTATTTCTAAAAATACTTTGTTTATGAAAGGCTTATTGAGCATATAAACCATTTTTCTCTCAGTAGGATTACTTCTTAAACTAAAAGTGGGCAAAACCCATGCCACAAAATAAATGTTTATTGGAGATCACTAACAAGGAGATATTCAAGTTTGCTGAATACACAGTAACTGCATCAAGGTATATATAAAGGATAATGTACAGAAAGTAGCAAGAAAGTCAGTTCCTTTTAAGTTTGTGCATTTTTTACCTTCTTGTTGTCTGCAGTGTCTTTACAGAAAACTGAAAACAGAGAACGTAATTCTGTTGGTCTTACTTGGACAAAACTACCAGAAGACTTGATAGTGAGAATGTGATCAGACGCTGGGCTTAGTGTTCTAGATCAGTGCTTTCCAAGCTTTTCCTTTCCTGCGGAAGTGCAGAACCTTGTTTTGTGTATTAACCAGCCAAACAACAGATTTACTTTACAAAGTTATTTTTATGCCCCCTTGAAAACAGTCTGTCAGCCCCCTGTTCCATGTCAGGGGAGAGGGGTTTGCAAAGCGTAGGTTGAAAACACAGATGTAGAAAATGGCAGTACTCAGTCCTTGCCCATGCTCCTACAGCAAACCAAACAGCAAGCCCTTGGGAGCGTTTGCAGCAGGGTAAGTGAAGATACGGCTCTGCTGGTATGTAACAGCAGCACACACTGTGCTCTGATATAGTTTAGAAACCAGCACAGTGTCTGGAGCTACGTCTTGGGGAAAGCACCTGAGCCCCTCTGGGGCTGCTACACAGTCAGGAGGGGCTTCCTGGGCGACGGTCCTTTGCTGAGGGTCCTCCCAGTGAACTTCACATACGACAATATGCCGAAGTAACTTTTTGAGGGGTGGTCTGTGCTCCCGGGTGGGGGTGTGCGCATGAGCTCCGTCTCACAGCTTGCTCCACCTCACTCATTTTCCACTTCTCTTTCTGCCCATTAGACATACCCCTCACACGAGTTGTTTTTACACAGTTGCTTTATATCTGCCTGTTTAGACCTCTAACACCTTTCCGGCAGGCTCGGTGCAGCCGTCTCCCCTCAGGACCGGCGCCTCCCGCACCAGCCTCAGGGCACTGCGCGGGAAGGGCGGTGAAACCCCCGGGGGGGTCCCACGCAGGGGAACCGGCTCTCTTCAGCTCGCCGGGACGCGGGCACCGCTTCGCCCCTTGAAGCGGCTGGACTCCCCACCCCACCCCACACACACCCCCCCCCACGCCCGCCCCTCACCTCCCGCCGGTGCCCCGGAGTCACCTGTAGGCCCAGGGCGAGGCGCTGCGCAGGTTGACGGGGAGCCGGAACCTCTTGTCGCCGGCCGGCCGGCCGCCGGCCGGGCAGCTGGCGTTGTGCTGGCGGCCCGGCGGCTCGGGCTGCAGGGTGTGGTGGAAGGCGCTGAGCATGCCCGCCGCCAGCCGCCCGTACAGCTGCTCCAGCAGCTCCTCTGGCCGCTCGCCGCAGGTCCGGGGCCGCGCCGGCCGCTTGGGCGCCCTGACGGCCTCCGGGCGGAGCGGGAGCAGCGCCGCGCACAGCAGCGCCGCCAGCGCCGCCCGCACCTGCAACGACGCCGCCCGTCAGCGGGATGGGGACCGGGCGCGGCCCCCCCACCCCCGCCGCGCCCCGCAGCCCCCGGACCGGGGGTCGGGGCGCTCCCCCCACAGCCCGCCCTGCCCCGTCCCCCGCAGCCCCTTACCCTGCCTCGCTGCATGGCCGTCGGGCTGCTCGGGGGAGCCGAGGAGAGCGGCGGGCTTGCGGAGCCGCGCCGTGCCACTGGCTCTCTCGGCGGAGGAGCTGTTGGAAAAGTGCCCCGCTCCTCACTGCATCTCCCCTGGCCTCGCATGCCAGGAACATTTTAGGCGCTCACGGAGGAGGCGAGGGCTCAGCGCCGGGAGCCGGCCGGTCCCGCGCTCGGCACGGCCCCGCCGTCCTGCCCCGCTGCTCCCGGCCGCCGGGGACGGCCCCGCCGGCGCGGAGGGGCTCGGTCCGTCACCAGCCGCTGTCCTGCCCCGGGGCCCGCCCGCAGCGGCCCCGCGGCTCTCCCCGCAGGCCTGAGGGGGGGGTGTCGCGGCCCCTCGGGGGCTGCGGGCGCGGCCTGTGCCCGCCTCTGCTCTGTCAGGAGCCGAGTGCCGCCTTCCACGGCATCGGTGGCGCGGAGATGAGCTGGGATCTCCTCGGGCCCGCTGAGCCCCGAGTGGGGCTCACAGGGCCAGGGCAGGAGACTGAGGCAGAGCCAGGATGGTTTTGGCCCAGTCAGAGCCAAAGTGTCAAGGCCGATTAGAAAAAATGTGTGTATCTACAGCTGAGATTAGCACAGTGCTGGCTATGTAACTACAGCTGAGGAGGGGAGTGCTCCAGTCTGGACTCTCAGTCACTGTGGAGCAGTTGGCACTGTCCCTTGTAGGGGTTTAGGATCTCCGATGTGCCCTGCTCCAGCTAGCACCTCTGGTTTGTTTCCCCAGAAACAGCCCCGCGGTGTTGTTTCCCCACCAGACCCTGGGGTGGTTGGAGTCCCGCAGGAAGACTGGGGCTGGCCACCACGAGGCCACCTCGAGCTGCCTCGGAATGGCCTCATCCACCCGTTCCTCCTGCCGAGGTGGCCTACAGCAGACACCCACTACGATGTCACTCGCTGCTGAGTAAAATGGAAGCCTATTTCAGAAGGTGAGAAACTTGCATCATACGTCTCTAAATGAGATTGAGGTGAGACTAACCTCTAATGACTCCTCTGTCCATTCTGTGCTAGTTTACCAGTACTTTCAACAGACGTGTAAGGCAATATATTCAGGGTCTCTGGCACAACCCACAAAAACAAGCATCTGTAGTACTCTGGGTCGTAAAAGATATGGTCCACTGAAATGGTTTGCACTAAAAACAGCCTTTGGAATTTATCACTTGAATTAAATCTTTGGGGCACTGTGATTAAACCCTGTGTGTCTTTTGAGGCATTTTGTATAAGGATAGTCAAATATGAAAATACTAATCAGGAATGAGGGAAAATAGGTTCATAAGTCATACAAGCACTTCAAGGACTGTGAACCACCAGCTTGGTACCACAGAAATACAAGACATCAGCTTCACAAACCAGGCTGGAATTGAAACAGGATGATCTGGCATTCATAATGTGATAAAGTGATTTGATGTCATGGTTTCTGAAAAGTCATTGAGTTGAGGGTAACAGTGATTTTTAGTGGGTTTGGTAACTTATGCATTACAAGTCAGTAGCACTCATGAGCAGTATCTTAACTTTGGACTGTTTGGAATCTGAATCAGGTTTTGACTCTGAGGAAAGACTTTATTTCAAATTGAAATAAAAACTCTCCTTTGCAGTTGTATCCTCAGGTGACAGGCTGGGGCAAGGCAGCTGCCCATTTAGCCCAGTCCAGTCTAACCCCCTGAGCTATACGCTGTGCCTGGCCTTGTTACTTCAACACCTTCAAGTGCCGTGCGTGACAACATGACTAATCATTGCCATGACAAATCTTTTTATATTACTCTTCGTATGATAAACCAGTATCTTTTTCTCAACGCTTTCCGAGTAGTATAAGCATGTCACACTTGGCTTTGCAAAACATGACTTTTAGGCACTTACTTTATATGCGTTGACTTTTCTGGGAGGGGTCTGCCTTAAAAAATCAGAGGAGAAGGAGAGGAAACAACAGCACAGACATTAAATTGCCGGTGAGTTTAAGGCTTCAAGTCTCATCTAGACAATATTCTAATTCTGTGCATTAGTTGCATCATATTGTCTGACTAGCAATCTCATTGATTCAAATAATAATAAGAAGAAGAATCACAGAAGGGCAGCAAATGAGACTCCATTACATGGGAATTGAAAGAGTGCTATGCGGGCTCTGAGACATCTGAATTATAACAAATTGACTTATACACTTTGGCAAAACTGAGGTTCTTCCATGACTTTGAGAAGTTACTAAGATATTACTAAGATATTAGTATCATTGTCATATACTTTGATTTATAATTTTCTCGGAATTTGAGAGGGTTTAAGATATCTATACAATGAAATACTGGGGAAAAAAATCTTTAATAATAAAAAGTCTGTCCTGGTTTTGATGCAATATATGATAATACTTCAATCAATAAATTCAGAATAGCAGCCATATGCACCTTTATGTGAATCTATAGGGATTTCAACCACTCATGTCTGTTTTCTAAGAGAAAACAGACAAGGCAGTGAGGCTTCAATGGCTTCAGGTAGAAATTCCCAGTGACAGAATGTGCCACCCGTGCCCTTGACAACAGCTGACCCAGTGGTGAGGCCAGTATGGAGCCCACGGACTGTGTCCTGCCTCATCCTGTTGACTGAAGGACATGACTCTGCTCTTTGTAGTGACACCAAGCTGCCATTTTGTAAAACATGACCCGCTCGTTTTCATATGCTCTGTGATTAGCTCACAGCCATTTCTTGACACCAGTCACCCCTTCCTGTCAGCCCTAGAAGGGTCTCAGAGCGGGAAGGCCCCTCCCACAACATGCACAGAGCCCACCATGTGGTTTCAGATGCCATTTTATGGCAGGTGATCACCGTTTCCGACAGTCTCATGGCCCACATGTTTTCATCCTGGCCTGCGGCCGGGTGGCCGGACCAGCCAACCCTTATAGCTTTCCCAAAAGTATGTGGCAACGGGAAGCTCTTGCCTGCCGCATGCGTGGCAGTTGCTGATGATGTCATACCCCCACGTTTCACACTGTTTCCAGCTGTGATGGGACAGTTGTCATGTTTTGAAATCATCATACCCACATGATCTCAGAGCACCCCCTGACTGGCTCCCCACTTCCTTTATGTCTGGAAGTGTTCCTGTATAACGTACAGATTTATATAGAGAGATTGCCATACATATGGAAATGTATATATATGGACAAGTTTATTCTTAAGAGGATGCTGCTTTTGGGTGCATTTCATTGTGCCCATCAGGAGCTGACAGCGACTAATCTCTCAATCCTGTCCCACCTCTGTGAGTCAATGTCTCTGCTTCAGATCTGGTTGTCCTGAGAAACTGGAAGTTTATGACCTGCTACTTCAGATGTCAACAATACATGCTGTTTTTATAGCCCTCTTCCTGCTGGTATTTTGTACCCATGTGTTCACATTTCCTTACCATTCATACCAATACAAACATTTTTATTTGTTGTGGTTTGAGCTCAGAGGGCAACTGAGGTCAACGTAGCTGCTCGCTCAGCCCTTCCGCCTCAGGTCTGGGAAGGAGAAAATAAAGCAAAAAAGGCAAAAGGCTCAGGAATCGAGATAAGGACAGGGAGGGTTAACTCACCCATTATGGTCACAGGGAAAAGACAGACTCATTACGGGAAGAAAAAAGAACATAAATTTAATTCAGACACTAACACCACCATCACTTAACGGACAGAGTAGGACAGTGAGAAACATTACCACATCTTAAAAACACCTTCCCCCCACCCCTCCCTTCTTCCCAGGCTCAGCTCTGCTCCCGAGATCTCTACCTCCTCCCTCTCAGTGGTGCAGGGGGCAGGGAATGGGGGGTGCAGTCAGTGCTGCTGCTTCTTCCTCCTCAAGGGTGGCGGGGACACGCTCCTTGCATTCTTTCCCTGTTCCAGCGTAGTTCCCCTCTCACGGGACAGTCCTCCACAAACTTTCTCTGGTGCGAGTCCTTCCCGTGGGCCACAGCCCTTCCCAAGCTACCCCAGCGTGGGTCACTCCCACGTGTTCCAGTCCTCCCAGTGCTGAACTACAACAGCGAGAGCTCCCACAGAGCCCCCAGACCCTCTCACAGCCTTCTTTGGGTGCAGACACCTGCTTCAGCATGGGGACCTCCACAGGTTGCAGGTCGGCATCTGCGGCCCCGTGGACCTCCATGGGTGGTGGGCGGGCAGCCTGCCCTCTCACCACGGGCTGCAGGGAGAATCATCGCACTGGCACACCTCTCCTCGCTTTCCTCCTCCTTTCTTCCACTGACCTCAGTGTTCACATGGGTGTCCTTCTCACAACTCCTCTTCACAACTCCAACTTCTCCTCCCAGGTTTCCCTTCTTAAGTAAATTACCGCAGAGGAGCAGCCAGCGTCACTAATTGGCTCAGCCTTGGCAGGCTGAGCTGGAGCTGACTTGTCTGAATTGGAGCTGGGGGAGCTTCGAGAGGCTTCTCATAGGGGGCCATCACTGTAGCCCCCTCCCTCACTATCAAAAACCCCACCACACAAACCCAGCGCATTATTACAATGTTCTAAATCCTTAGAAAATTTCTGGTCCTCTGTTTTCTAATACACTGTAGGCACTTTTGTACCTTTTGTCAGAAAATGACAGCTACTTTTTATGGTTCATATGTGTTCTTCTTGATAGCCTCCCAAGCTTCAGGTGTTGCCCTTAGTGTTTCAATGATACATTATTGTAAACTTTCCACTTTTCTGGCCCAGAATGTTTTACAAATTACGATAACAGTTCAACTTCTGTGCAATCATTTCATCTATGAATTCTAATATGAACTAATCTTCACGTTATGATTTATTGGATTCCAGTAAGCTTCACGGGGTATGTTAGTGTTCCTTATCCTCATTTATTCACCTTCCATTATCCATTTTTTACCAAAATAAAGGGCAAAAGTTTGAGAGGAAGGGGAAGAGAAACTTGCCACTGATAGGAGAGATAGAAGGAAATCTACTGAGAGTAGAAAAACTATTTCTTTCACTTTTATATAATATTCTAAATGCTCTTTCTGGGAGTTGTCATGCAACATTTGTACTTGGGAGTGGCAGCTGCCTCTCTCCTGAGATTATCACCATAGTGATCAATGCCAGATAGTTATTAAGAAGTTCAGTTCCACAAATCCCTGCTATGAGAAAGTTCGGATGTTCAAAAGAAAACTGAGCTGTGCAAAATAAGGCAGACATTTTTAGTGAGTTCATATTAATAAGAAGAAACATTTTCTGCACATGATTCCATCAGAGAGCCACACACAAGGTTTGTATCTTCAGCCTTATATTGTTACTAACAGCTGGAA